AAAAAAAAAAAAGAGATGAAGATGAAAAGAAGATCAGTGGATATGTAATAATAAAACAAATGAAGAGGATGGTAAATTTGACGATGAAATTGACGAGGCGCTATTGCGAGGAACGATTCTGCGACAATTGGCAGCAGTTGAGAAATGCTGCCGCCACCGCCACTGCCACCGCCATCGCCGCAGTAAAATAGAAGAGATTTTGCCGTCGGATGACACGGAACGGATGAATGAATCGATGGACAAAATGGATGGTTGAGTAAACGATAGAAGAAGTTAAAAAATAAATAGTGCTATTTATTGGCTTCTAACGAGTGAAAAAAAAAAAAATTCTTTCTCTTTTTTTTTTTTTTGCAATGTTATAGAAAGCAACATTATGGATAATGTTCGGCAAAAAAGACTCCCATGTATCATAGCAAATTGGATATGCATGTTTGTTTTGTTCTGTTTTTCCATCACATGTCTTTGCATATTTCTGTTTCTCCATGTCTGTGGGCCTCTTATCTGAATTTATAGGCATTGAAATATGCATAATGTTTGATGTCTCTAAAATGGTGTATTTAATATTTAAACGAAATAAAAATAAGCAAAAAAGTCTGGAAGACAAGATAAAAAAAGAAAAAAAATTGAACTAGCGATCTGTTGTCCAACTGATATATGTACTTAGATGTAGACTTTTAGAAATGTTTCAATTTTTGACGTCTTTAAACTTTGTTCCCTTTTTTTTTTCTTGACTATAATTCTTTTTTTTTTTCTTCGTATATAAAACTAAGAAAAGTATAAAGATAAACTAAAAAACAGGCAAAAAGTTATATACAAAATATATTTGCCGCATCGTCGTTAAATGTGTGTTGAAGTTTATAGCAGAATAATACTGCTTCTGTAGCAAACAACAAACAACGATGACAACAATTTTTACTGACGATAACTGTATAAAAGCGAATAGATGACTGTATATAATTGATTGAACAGTTCGCTTACTGATTACATAGTTTACCATACAAGGAACTAGCAGTAAAATGTATATGCTCTATTTATTAACCACTGGCACAATCTAAACTTCATTTTTTTTTTTTTCTTTTGAGATATACATTTTTTAAAACAATTTTGAATTACCAACATCCTATGCTACCTAAACATATCTTTGGTTACCTAAATCACCGATGCGACTATGATACCCGGCAAAAAAAGGGAGAAGCACACAGCTGTTTAAAATCAAATAAAGTAGGCATAAATAAAATGTTTACTGTTAACTGTTATTTGCCATAGAAATATTCAGATTTAAAATTGACTAGTAAAAAACAGGTTAGGTAATTCGCAATCAAAAAGTATATAACCTAGGCCTACACTGATTTTTTTTTTTTTCAATAAAATCAGATTCTTCAGTTCTTTCTTTTTTTTTCATATTGAGTTAGTTAATTGTTTTTGTTTTGGCTCTCTTATATGCTGTTCAAATATAGTTGCTAATGCCATTAAAATGAAACATCTGTTATCCAACAACGGAAAAGTGCTAAAGGAACAGTGATGCAGAAGTGAAAATCTGAAATTTGTTATGTAAATTGCAACTTATAAATTTCATTATTACAGAGATTCATATGTATCAATCATATTTTAAATCTTTTTTCAAGCCGTTGACCTTAAATTGTCAGGTATTATTTATTTCAATTTTCTTAGCTGTTTTTACTTAATTCTTTCTCCTAACAGCAAGTATATTACTGTCTGTATAAAAAAAGTGATTTTTCTACAGTAATTCATGTTTACTGCGGTTACTAAAGGAATTATGACTCTTCAAATTTTTCAATAATTTCATTTATTTTTTTTTTACAACTTAAGAATTCTTAATGTCTAAATAATTTTCGACAATAATTTACAATTCCTAACAGCAACAACAGCGGCAGCAGTAAAGACAAGAATAATCATAGCGGTTTTTACAAGATTAAACAGTTGGCAAATTGTATAGTCAAAGTTTACAAAAATATATCAAAAACAAAAATTTATGCTTTGTTAATAAACATTATTTTTATCAAGAAAAAAATTTTTAATATTTCTTTGCTGAAGAAAACAATCTTCATTTTTTTTTTTCCCGGCTCTAAAACTCATGTATACATTCACATTTATAACAATTACAAGTAAAGTTGACTAACTGCTAAATAAATCTAATCGAAGAAAAATAATGTGAACGTTAAAGAACCGTCATATCTTAGAAAAATATCCAGAAATTTTTTGCAATTACTCAATGATTTATTATTGTCTATTCAACCATAAGCAAAAAAAAAAAAAAAAAAAAAAAAAAAAA